ACGTGTGCTCTTCCGATCTTATCCGCGTAATTCCATGAAAAATCAGTAGAATCGTTTTCTAAAGTACCGATTTGGAAAGTAAAAATTTAATTTGGAAATTTTTAGCTGTAAAATGCTTTTTTGAACATCTCAATACAATCATTTTTAACGAAGTTACACTCTCTTGAATTTTGCCTATCTTTGGAGGGTAGAGTAAGTGATGCTTTAATTTTGTTGAAATGTGTATATACATATATTTTATCCATTATTTTGCCATAGTCAAACTCTTTTTAAATCTTTAAGAATTTTTAAATAAATGTAAATTGCTTATTGTTTCACTAATGCATACATTAATAATTTTTATTATTTGTTAAATAAACATAATTATTTGTTAGCAAATAAATTTACATGCGTTAAAAGAACGTAAATGGGTACTTAAAATATTTGGAAAGTATGTTACAAAATTATTCATGACAGCCATTTATTGATTATTGTTTACGCTAATTACAATCAGAATTTGCAATATTTTCATTGTAATTTCTTTGTTTCTCATTCAATTCATGACGGATCCAGAAACACTTGCATAAACCCGAATGTAGAAAAAAATTACTACTTCCAACCAATAGAACATAGTTAATTATGCTAAATTCACGCGTTTATAAATTTATGAGACAACTAAAGAAAGGACATGAATAAGAGACATTATGGGCTATAGAAATATTAGAGCCTGAAGCAATTTATTATTTTATAACAAGATATGCAACAAACATAGGTACATGACGTAAATCCCATATACTGCATGATCGAAATTAGTGTTATAATTAATTCCACAACGAGAAATTTATTATGTACGATAACACTATTGTTGTAACATTACGTTACTATTAGAGAAAATATATAAAGATCAGTGGAAATTAAATGTGAAGCAAAATATTTTAGATCAAGATTACTAAAGAGCATTTCAGTAGAATCAAAATTAAATTTCATCCCATTAAATGCAATCAATGACCACGAAAATGGTCAACATCAATTAATTTTACATCTCTCTTTTTTGAAGACGAAAATAAAATAATCTGGACAATTATTAAAAACGTAATGGTTATCTACGATAACAATTACCGATTAACATTCAGAGAAAAATATAATTCCTATCTATGTAATCACGAGATACGCTAGGTATTTATACACTATTCAATCTTAGCTTACATCACCTGTTCCTCGTTTATTCTTATTTCTCGGTCTTATTTTTCGCAATCGAGAATGTGAAATTACTTTGTTGTATAATTGCGCCGAAATGTGTCCACAAAATTAAAATAGAATAAATCCTACACAGGATTCACAAATATACAGTATTCTATAAAAGATTAATAGTAGAAATGCATTTTTCCATGAATTCTCAATCGACTTTTCCTTAACAATAAAATTACTTTATTTATGGGATTTATTAAAACATCTATTAGAGCATCTACTTATTTAACATTTATTAAACATTTATTAAAAACTTAATGTTTTTTGTAAATCTAATAAATTTTAGAATTATATTAAATTCTCACCTTATTCTTAATTTAAGAACAATGTTTTTCTTCAGTAATTTCGAAATTGAATACTTAAATATTCAATATATAATTAATTTTAAAGATTAAAAAAATACTACCAATTTTGATTTAAATTCTCTTGTTAAGGAATAATCGTTCTACAAATTCATTCAAGAATGTCATTACTATTGACTGCTACTCATCTTTACATCCTGTACTAAATTAACAATAATACTGATATAGGCATCTTTTGAAAGACTTCACTAACATGTATAATTATAATCGACGAAAGATATATTTGATTTATTTAATCTTGCTAATTACACATCGTCAGCACAACGTGTCGTTTGCAACACAGGTCGGAGGACACAATTGCACAAATCTAAATAAAGATTTTTTGTAGCTATGTTAGGTAACAACCTAAAAAGTCAAATACTCATGTCTCATTCTTAATAAATCTTTCCATTAGCACATTAATGCGCGCATGGTCTTTAAAAATACATAATTTTCAATAGTATTGTACTTAAATATATCTATTTTTAAATACACGCTTTTTTTTTAAATACAAGCTTATTTAACATTTAGAAATTTGGACATTTTTTTATAAATCTAATTTTATATACCAACCTATTGTTAATTTCAAAACAATTTTTTTTAAATTTTATATCAGAAATTTTAATTTGACATTTAATATACATTATATACTTAAATATTATAGTTCAGTTGTAATTTATTTAAATTGAATTTTCCAAATAATTTGATTAATTAACTTAAGGATCGTATATATTTTCGATACGGGGAATTTGCCATCAATTATGCCAATTCTGTCATCAATTTTAAGTCATTTCCTTTTTATATGCAAAATCTTTCGAAATATATCTTGGCAATAGAAAAAGACTATGGAACAACGTAAATATGTTTAGACAATTTAATTACATTTAAATCTAATTTTCTCGCAAAGCTATTCATGAAATCGTAGCAAGTGTTTCGTGAAATACTGTTTATGAAACACTAGAAACAGCAGAAACTCTTCTTCCGTACACGATGTTCATTGTGTACACTTTGAGTTTACGCTCTCTGTCGCGATTGTATCTGTGACTTGCGACTCGCGACCTGCGTCCAACGCACGCAATTCTGAATCTTGTAATAGCGGCGAAACATAAGTTATGGCGTACATACAGCAAATCATACACGTTGATTAACTAGACCAAGATCGGCTTATGATATGTAAAATAATTATAATAAAATCTTAATTAACGGAGAAATCGATTGATAAATCAATAGATGACAGCATACTTGCACCCATCATCATAATTGATAGACGCGTCTTCTTCTTTTTTTTTCTTGTTTTTAGATTTAGCTACATCGGTTTAATTATTTGGAGGAGACGTTTCGTAACAGATGCGTTTCTAAGAGCTGCTGTATTATTGTGAATCTGAAACATAAAGCAGAAAATAGTGTTTACGATGTCTTCAAAATATTTGAAGATCGATCTCATATTCTACTGTCAATTAATATATATAATTATACGAAGAACTAAGAACGAAACTTTATCTAACAGAACAACTTTTATTGCTGCACGATACAATATCGAGCAAATTACTCCTAATTTTACTTCTACTGAAAGAAAGTCTCTACATCTATTGACGCTTTATCTATTGACTTTATATTTCTCGTTTAAAAAAAGAACTGCCCATACACCTACACACTTATACATATAATGCATATAATAAAACATATTCATATTATATGTATATACGATGATACATATATATATGTATATAACAATGCTATAACACCAATAAGAAATTTTGTGCAATTATAAATAAATCGCGTGTAATAATATTTAAAATGTATTTTTTTTTTAGAAATTTTACTGTTTGATCCTTTATTATTTTCCTTGTTTAATAAAAATTGAAATAAAACCGCTAAATTAATAAAGAGCTGTACGAGCCAAGATTAATGAAACATTCGCGCATTCCAATGTTAATGGATCAGCTGTAATTAAATAATGCGTAGAAAACTGGTTTTTACACAACCAGTCAAACTGTCATCCCAAAGTTAGAATGCAGAATTTATCGCTATTTTGTGCGATCGTGTGTACACAATGGCGAGCAACTTTTCGATGACAATATGCCGCGGAGGAACTTTTAAAGCGGACCCTTCCGTCGCCATTGTCCCGCGCGCAGTTGCGGGGAAGATAATCCATAGCTTTGTTTTAAATGTCACTTGGCACCCGTGCAGTAAGGAAAAAAATATTTTCACAGCATTAATAGCGCGGAATAATTCGTGAACGGGTGATTATAAGTGTAATCATAGAATGTAGAAGAAGTGTAAAATTCAGAAGCGTGGATAAACTCTTTACTACAGCAAGAGTAAAGTATACCGTTGTTGCATTACAAAGTATACATATTACAAGTATACTGTAAATATGAGTGAGACACTTAAATGTTCCATGTGTCGCATGCAAAATACAAATATAGAAGTATACACAATATCTAGCAAAGGTTTCTGAGAATGATACGTATTGCGTTTATATAATGAATTGTAGAAAATATTTTGAAGACCTTGAAGAAGATAGTTTGTGCAATGAGATAACATTTAATTTTTCCTTCTCCGCGCTCTGATAAACCGCATGACACTTGATAAGTACTAAAAGCACACTTTTACGATACAATTTCATGGTATCACAGCGATGAGTGATCACGTGATCGAATTTTGTTTGTTTTTTTTGTTGCCCGCGACGACGTAAAATGTTGGATTGAACCGAACTTTTAACAACGTCGCTCTTACACGGTAATCTTGTGGGTTAAAATTCTGTGCGAAATAAATAACACGCAGAAAACATGGAACTGCAAGATGTAAGTACAAAAAATATATAATAATAAGAATAAATAAATAAATAAATGTATAATTAATAATATATATAATAATATAATAATATAATATAATATAATAATATAATAATATATATATTATATATATATATTATATTATTAATTATATTTTTTGTCCTTACATATTGCAGTTCCATGTTCTGCGTGTTATTTATTTTGCACAGAACTTTAACCCACAAGATTATCGCGTAAGAGCGACGTCGCATTTTAGACTTTATTAACATAAATTATTATTTATGTTATTCAAACATTTATCGCTACTACTCATTTACACAAGTAACAATCGAAATCAGCATCATATGATATCACGTACATACGTGATTTATTTGTTGCTGAATATGAGCGACAAGCGAAGACACCATGAAGACATAAACGATTAAGCGATAAAAGAGAATCGCGACATGAACTTTCGCTACCAACTGCTGCTGCTGTTAGCTGATCGAATTACCTAATATTGCCGGCGAATCCCCGTCCACGCCGATCCGGTCGGTGTTATCAAACACCTTTATGAACGGGCTGCTGTCCTCGTACGGGGCTCTCGCCCACTTTTTGCCTCTCACCCCCACAAACAGCCCCCGTAATTCCCATGGATTTTTCTTACCGCGCATATCGAAATACCGGTAGGGCGATCGCTTTTCAACTTGGCACTCTAGAGCGCGTCTTCTATCGATCAGTCCTGCACGGGGGAAACACACACGTGGGCCATTCGACCTTAAAATCGCACGACGTAGTGCGCAGACGGGTGGGGTGGAAAGAAAATAAAAAAAAAAGATTGTCCACCGTCTCACTGCGAAGTTTATTCCCAGGTGCATGAATAATAAGACCAATATTTGGGAAGAGCCTTCGTTACGCGTTCTCTCTCCACTCGGAGATGAACTCGATCGATTATATCGTACAGTACGACGTTACGAGTGGCATTCGAAAAGTACCGAGCTACATATTTCATAGAATACTTCGGGGCGCGCGATAAAAACGAAAGAAAATATTTCTCACAGCGTGTTACAGCACGGTTAATTAAATACAATACCGCGATAAAACTACTCACGTACGCGAATAGTTTTTATGTCATTTCGATATCGCGAGCAACTGTGCCTTCAGCTTCTCGAAACCTCTCGTACAAAAGGAAAATTAAAATGTCCGTTAACTTTCCGCATTAACCATTTTTCAAATTAAAATTGTAATATAATACTATAAAGATAATACAAGTTTTGATATATATTATGATTATAGTAAAATTTATGAAGTTAGACTCACACGCAAGTTTCGAAATAAACGGCTCAATTAATTACTTTATAAATTATTAGTAAAAAAAAGAATACTTTACAAATAAATTATTTTGCAAATTTTGAACAATTGCAGCGTTATGAATGTTTTACGAAGAATAATATTACTAACAAATATTAATTATCGTAATATTCAAATGTTTCTTTCTTTCTCAATTATTGTATATAGTGAGCAGCATTGACTATACCTTGATATTCACTTAACGAACGGGTTCCAAAATCCATATCGGGCTCAAATCTTTGTCCCACGCTCCTCTTGCCTCTCATACCGTGAAAACCCATCGGTGCCCTCTTATCGGTGTCTTTCTTGCCTCTCATCCCTTGAAAACCCATTGGTGCCCTCTTGTCGAAATCCAAATCGGGATCTATGTAATAATCTACATAATTTTCAAAGTCATCTTTCTTACCTCTCATGCCCTGAAACAATCATTAATTAAATAATTAACTTCCGAAAAAATTTTTCTCGTTTTCATCTTTTATCAATATTTTTTATCAATTACATTAAATTATTATATTCATTCAAAATAATCACAGCAAAAAGTACATACTATTGCACATATATATCCTATTAGAGAAATCTGTTAAAGTTATTTCTATATATACAACTGGTTAAGCAACTGCATGATTAATTTACCTGGAAACCCATAAGGGCTCGTTTTTCAAGTTCCTCTATCTCGTCGAGCAATGCCTTCTTGCCCCTCATCCCCTGAAATCCCATGGGAGCTCTCTTCTCCCACTCTGCCGGAAATTCTTTCATCTTATCGTGCATACCTTGGTACCCCATTGCGAGAAGTCTCTTTTCATAATCTTGTGGATACTCGAAAACATATGCTTTCTTTCCCCTAGTACCGTAAAAGCCCATTGCGGCCCTCTTTTCAATTTCGCTCAGCACCTGCAGATTACATTTCAGATTGAAAAATTTGTTAATTTAAGAGGTATGCGCGTTATTTAAAACGCTTGGACGACTACAAATCTTTTCGGGGTGGCTTAATGTTTTTCAAGAAAAGATAAAATTGATCAAATGGACAGAAAAGATTAAAAAAAAAAAAAGAAAATTTGCAATTTATAACATCCATTTTGTAAATAATTTACACTTAAGAAGAATCTTATAAATTATAAATTGACTATCGCTCTGAGGTCTTGCAACATAATAAATCCAATTAAATGCTCGAAATTTATACCTCCTCCAAAGACTTTTTTCCTCTCATTCCTTGAAATCCCATAGGTGCGCGTTTGTAATAATCGTCCTCCAACAAGGTCTTCTTGCCTCTCATACCCTGAAAACCCATTGGCGCTCTTTTCTCGTAGTCCTCACGGAAGTAGGAATCTTCGAAATCAGGTATCAAATAATCCTTCTTCCCCCTCATACCCTGAAATCCCATCGGCGCTCGCTTGTCGAACTCGTCGTGCAGGAGATTGTCGGCCTCAATGTCGGGCGCGCTCGAATCCTTACCCTGCGATCAACAAAATCTCTTTCGTATAAATAATTAAATTATAAATAATTAAAAATAGAACGAGATAAAATTAGACCTTCTACGTCAATTCTAACAGAAAAGTTGAACAAAAGTTCTAAAAAAAAAAACAACTTACCTGAAAATCCGCTAATGTTCTTTTGGAAAGTTCATTGTGTTCTGCGACAGTGGGGATGAGGTCCTTCTTCCCGCGCATACCCTGAAACCCCATGGGCGCTCGTTTGGCGGACGCGGCATCGCTAGAGGACGATTCCTCTGCGTACGACGAACTTGTCCAGACTGCCAGGAAGAGAACTGAGCTGATAAGCATTCTAAAACACATAAAGAATGAATGGTCAGTATCTATGAAAAAATATTTATTACAGTCATCTCCTCTTCGGTACTCATACTCAGAGAACTTTAAACGTGAGTGCTAGCCTATTACATTTCCGCGTGATATAAGACGTATGCCGAATGTTGTGTTTATTCTCGTTTGTGTATCCTGACATGTACACGAACGTCAGCTGTATCACGTCAAACTAATTTATCGACGTGTCACGTAACCACATTTGATTGTTCATCAGCAACCTAGCCGGGGCTAACGATCGGTCGGATACAACCCTCAGATATATACTCAAATGATACTAATTCCAACCGCGTACTTGCTACTCGTTAGTGTTTGAGATACAAGTACAAGAAGTAATGAACGAACAGGCGAATTTGAGAGACCAATTTAGTTTATTAATCGTACAAAAGAAACTTTTTTTAAGTTATTAAAAAGAGAATAGAATTATATTGGCTAGACTTGTACTAAATAAGTATCTAATTTTTTTACTTGCACTACTCCGTTACAGTAAATCTAGCGTAAGTACAACAAAAATAGAAATATTTTGCCGCTGCGCCAGAGAGGAGATACAAAGAACTTAAAGCACGCTCTTCATATGATACATTATGTTACGCGCAAGAATTTATGATGAGGGAAATCGTATTGCGAGAAGATAATGTTTACGCGAAACGTGTAAAAGCGGACGCCGCAAATATATAGAAGAAGGCAAAATCGCGTTTGCGATTTTAAGAGAAAATACCCGCGGCGTATTGAATCGAGGAAACATTTCAAGAAATGTACGGGGGGCACAGTATTAAAAGGAACGGTATTAAATCGGATCTTACGAGGGAGCGCCCGATTAATTTGGAAAGAAATGCACGGCCCCGTGGATATAATCGAATACTTTTAAGGCATATTTAACCCCGCGCCAAATGTAATGTGCAATACAACGGGAAAAACGGGCGCGATCGTGTAATTCCGTTCTTGTCATGCTTCTCGACAGATTATTCAATTTTATAAGGTTTAAAAGTGCCGCTACCCTTCAAAGCGGAGGCTATAATTAGCGAAGGATAGGATAAAGGCTTGCGTTTCTCAAAGCATCTCGTGCCACGGCGAGACCAAAGAATATCAATATAAAACGACCATCGAGAAATGGCGAAAGGTACGTTCCCACTGCAAATCGAGAACGTGTTTTAAATTCTCATAATAGAACTACCTCAAATTCACTGATGTTCTTACGGGATCGAAAACATTTAACAAATACATTAAATATGATGGCTTGATGATATAAGCTGTTCTCCAACTAATCTGTATGCAAATTGTGTCACATATATATCTGTCTCTAATATAACTTTACTTCTCTTCCACGATGGAATAACTTCTCTTAATATGCATATAAGGTAAAAGCATCTTTGCGATTACTGTTAACGTCATCGCCATTAGGATTGAAAATCGAATGTTTCATTCCGGTTTTAAAGTACAAGTTCTAATAATGATTGAATTTCACACTTCACAGATTTTATTAAAATTTTATTATCTCTTCTATTTTTTATTTCAATTAAGCAAATTAAACAAATAAGATTTTTCCAGTATACATATGTTATTCAATTTAAAAAATTAACACACAGTTAAGTAATTTTTTTTATTAAAAATGCAATATTTCTTAGTTGCATTTATTTAATCGTGTAAATACTTTTTAACTGTGCCAATATAAAAAATCTTGGATAATAACTTTTACTAATGGATAACAATTTTTACTATTATTTTTAATATCTTGAGTAGAATATTATTTTTCTACATAGAAATAAGAAGAGTTAATAAAAGACACATTTACATGATGATATACAATCGGTTTATATCTACATGTATACGTAAAACTTCGTAAAAGCTATCGACTGGAAAAGCGACGTTGTTTCGTTATTGTTTTTTATCCCATAAAGTACGTATATTATATTCATCGTATTGTGACGCGTTGATCAATTTAATTTAACAGGTTTCCATTCAGTACGATCCAATATTCATGCATAAACACGTGACATTAGCATATTATTGTATATTCATCGTAGATATACAAATAAATACCAACACAGAAAATTAATATGGAAAATTTAATAATTTCTTTTATATTTAATGATATTCATAATTCGAAAGCTTGTAATCAAAGAGGCTCATTTTTTTTTCTATTCCTTTTCACTGAAAACAAATAATTAAAATTAAACAACTGCTAAAGCAGGTTGCAAATTAATTGTCGAAACCACGTAATTATTATATGCAATTAATTTGTTCAATTCCGAAATACTTCGGTAAAAAATATGTCCTAATAATAATACATTATTCTTAGCTTATTATCTGCACTAGACTCTCGTTATATTCGGCTCATGCTCTTCTTCCTTTTCTTTTATTATTGAATGTAGGGCATATGCATATATTTAGCCATGTTGCATATATATATATATTAGCCTCAAGTCATGTGTTGCAATCGGATGTAAATTTATGTTAGTAAATATAATGAGCGTAAACTCTAAGATCCCAAACTCGTGTAATTTGTCCCATGGGCTAGTCTATTTATTTATGTAGAAGTTTGCAATATCACGGTAAAGGTTAACATTAATATGTTAATGCTATATGTATAAACTCCAATTGCTGTGTGACCAAATGATATACCGCATTTGCAATTATTGTTGCATTACTTTCATAACTAATGAAACTGCACTCTTACTTCGGAATTAATATAATAGTAACAAAGCGCATTTCTTCAGAAATTTAATACTGAAGAAGTATTAAATAATAATTTATTTTAAGTATCAAAAATACTTGCAATTTTTTTAATACTCAAAATAAGTAATTATATATTTGGCACTTTCTTTATTAAATTTCTGTAAGGGATAAGCATCAACATGCCGTTGATTAGCTATAGTATGGTAAGAAAAATAGAAGGGGGATATTGATACATCCGCAGATGTCAATCGCATCTTAGAAATTGTGTCGCATAAAAGATGCCGCCCTCCCTTCCGCCCTCCGTGTTAATGTGCTCACGTTGTAAACTGCCGAGGTCAGCCTCTTCGTCGCGCAAAAGTAAACGGAGCGAGAATTCGAGCTCGACGAAGGGGCGCCGGGAACGTGCCATGTCGGGTAGAGAAGATGAGAGAAAAGGAGCAACGTGATAAGAGAGGAGAAAGGGGACAGAGGGTGGCAAGAGACTGCGTCGGCTGTTGGACGGTGAGCTCGTTACTCACCACACACCGTCCGGTCATGTAATCGTTCTAGGCAAGCTTGTCCTACACGTTTATTCCTCGATCGAGAATCTGTAAGTGAGAATACTCATCCCACTTTCATGCAACACGTCGATTTGTCGAAATTCCGAGCCGCATCAGAAATTATCGACAACAATTATATCACGATAATATTTTGCATTACAAAACAGAGACTAACTGTATTAACAGTTTTCAGAGTAAAACCAAATTATGTAAATGATATGCAAAACTGAAGCAACGTATCAAATAGTAATTTTAGATCGAGTTTAAAATTCAAAATTCCCGAAACTTATATAACTCAATTATCGATTGATATTGACATGATCAATATACTAGCGGTATCAATTCGGAAAGAAAATAGTATATTATATTCTGTAAAAATAAATGTTTAAAAAAAAATTAATTTTACCACTAGATACATAAAGATATCTAATAATTAATATTGGCATGCTTAGAAAAAATTGTTAACGAATGCGTGAATATTTTAAAACTGTTCTGACCTTTAAACCGCGGCGAACATTGACGTTTGTATCATATATAGTGCAGAACGACCCTACATCGATTAATATGTACAGTCTATACGAAACACAAGGGCACTTTACTTGAACAATGAACTTTCACACAGAGAGAGAAAGAGAGAGAGAGAGAAAGAGAGAGAGATCGGTAGAAAAGTTAAGATCAATCTAAACAATGCACGAAGAAGGAATCGCAACGAAGAAAAATCGCTCAAATAGAAAAGTCTCTCCATTGTTTCTGTGAGGGTATATTTATCTCTTCAAAGTAGAGAGCAGAGTGACGTAGTACATAGTGTAAAACATGCATACTGAGATTTGCTTAGAAACCCGCACTGTGAATCGCGTGTTCTAGTTTCCTCGCTGTGCAAGAACCTTCTGGATTCGTATCAAAAATTACAAAAGTAATATGTTCATATTTTTTAATTTATGCCAGCACTTTTATTTTAAAGTAACGCACTTTGTTTCACGTCAGAAAAGTGTAATGTACAAAAATTACTACTAAAAATGTAAAGTGAAAAATTTACGGTAATAATAATAAAGTAGTATCTTATTGTAAATAATTTCATTAATAAATTAATGAAATTATTTACAATAAAATTGCTAAATTTTGCTACGAGTATTTTTATTTATACATCTATATCTTGAAAAATTATAGAAACATGATATAATCACGTAGAAATAATATACGTAACGTAAAATAATGTATGTAAGAAAAAGACTTCGTTCTTTGTTCGCCTACGCACAGTTATTTCGGTCATTGCACATGTGAAGGTGTAAAAGAAAGAAAATTATTTTATACCGTACCGCGTAGTTTTTTTTTTCAATTAAACAGCCGTTAGTTTTGAATTTTTTGTATTATAGACACTACGGATAGGTATGTGTGTTGAAAATCAATGTTATTATTCTGTTTACGTAATACTCCATTTTCTCTGAATATGTGTATGCACATAATTGAATTAAAAGTAATATCATCAATTTGATAATACCAAATTCAATTTTCTCCAAATTGGATCAAAAGAGCATCTGCGTTGATGTTTTAAAAAAATATTAACGAATTTCCTAATTGGCAATCTCTACTTCTGTCGTTCGTAAAATATTCATTATTAAGCATCCCTCCCTAATTCTTTCTGCAAAGATTTCAATTTTAATTTAAATCAGATAATTATCGTGAACGCTCTACTCATTGTCAGTGAAACAAATTAAAAGCTGGTTGTACGAACTAATGACGAGTCCCGATT